TTGGAGTCCCCAGTGTCTTCTGTTCCCACTTTTATGTCCATGTGTAGGCAGTGCTTAGCTCCCACTTATAAATAAGAACATACAGTATTCGATTTTCTGTTTCTGGGTTAATTCACTTAGGATTATGGCCTAAGTGCCAATCCTAAACTGCATCCATGTTGCTGCAAAGGACATGATTTCATTCTTTTTTATGGCTATGTTGTATTCCATGGAGTACACGTACCACATTTTCTTTATCCGGTGCCACTATCAATGTGCACCTAGGTTGATTACATGATTTTGGTATTGTGAACAGTGCTGCAGTAAACATACGTGTGCATGTGTCCTTTTGGTAAAACAATTTCTTTTCCTTTGGGTAGGTACACAGCAATGGGGTTGCTGGGTTGAATGGTAATTCTACTTGCAGTTCTTTGCAAAATCTCCAGCTGCTTTCCACAGGATGCAAGTAATTTACATTGCCACCTACAGTGTGTAAGCATTCCCTTTTATCTATATCCTGCTAACATCTATCCTTTTTTTACTTTTTAATAATAGCCATTCTGACTGGTATCTCTTTGTGGTTTTAATTTGCATTTCTCTGATGATTAGTGATGTTGAGCATTTTTTCATGTGTGTGTTGGCCACTTGTATGTCTTCTTTTGAGAAGTGTCTGTTCCTGTCCTTTGCCCACTTTTTAATGGTGGTGTTTTTTCTTAAGCTCCCTTATAGATTCTGGGTATTAGTCATTTGTAGATGCATAGTTTGCAAATATTTTCTCCCATTCTGTAGGTTGTCTGTTTACTCTGTTGATAGTTTGTTTTTCTGTGCAGAAGCTCTTTAATTTGATTAAGTCTCATTTGTCAATTTGTGTTTTTGTTGCATATGCCTTTGAGGTCTAATCATAAATTCTTTGCCTAGGAAATGTCCATAAGATTTTTTCCTAGGTTTTCTTCTAGAATTTTTAAAGTTTGAAGTCTTACATTTAAGTCTGTAATCCATCTAGAGGTAAATTTTGTATATGGTGGGAGGAAGGGGCCCCGTGTCATTCTTCTGCATATAGGTAGCCAGTTTTTCCAACACCATTTATTGAATAGGATGTCCTTTCCTTATTGTTTATTTTTGTTGATTTTGTCAAAAATCAGTTGGTTGCAGGTACATGGCTTTATTTCTGGGTTCTCTGTTCTGTTCCATTGATCTGTGTGCCTATTTTTGGCACACAGTATACCATGCTGTTTTGGTTATTATAGTCTTGTAGTATAGTTTGAAGTCAGGTAATGTGATGCCTCTAGCTTTGTTTTTTTGGTCTAGGATTGCTTTGGCTATTCAGGCTATTTTTTGGTTCCGTGTGAATTTTAGGATTTTTTTTTTTCTAATTCTGTGAAAAATGATGTTGATAATTTGATAGGAATTGCATTCTATCTGTAGATTGCTTTGGGCAGTATGGCCATTTTAATGATATTGGTTCCTCCAACCCATTAGCATGGGATGTTTTTCCATTTTTTTGTGTCATCTATGATTTCTTTCATCAGTGTTTTATAGTTCTCTTTGTAGAACTTTTTCACCTTCTTGGTTGGATGTATTCTTTGGTATTTTATTTTGTGTGTAGGAGACTATTGTAACTGAGATCACGTTCCTGATATGGTTCTCAGCCTGAACATTGTTGGTGCATAGAAATGCTACTGATTTTTAGGCCAGGCACGGTGGCTCATGCCTGTAATCCCAGTACTTTGGGATGCCGAGGTGGGCAGATCACCTGAGGTCACGAGTTCGAGACCAGCCTGGCCAACACGGTGAAACCCCATCTCTACTGAAAATACAAAAATTAGCCAGGTGTGGTAGCACATGCCCGTAATCTCAGCTACCCAGGAGGCTGAGGCAGGAGAATTGCTTGAACCTGGGAGGTGGAGGTTGCAGAGAGCTGAGATCGCACCACTGCACTCCAGCCTGGGTGATAGAATGAGACTCTGTCTCAAATAAAAAGAAACGCTACTGATTTTTGTACACTGATTTTGTATCTTAAGTGTAGAAAGTCAAAAGGTTTTTTTTAAGGTATTTTTTGTTAAAGAATAAATCATAAATGTAAGAAATAATAGTTTTTTCCAAAGACTAACTTTTTTAAAGCCTTTTTGCTTTGTGCTAATAACTTTTTATTAAGCCCTATCATATATAGCTGTGAGATACAAGGGAATGAGTACATTCTATGTCCTTGTACTTTAACCAAGATATTTGCACTGGACGTGCTCACAGGCATGTCCCAGTTTGCAGCCTATGCCCCTTCCTTATTTGGGAATGTCACTACTTTTCTAAGTCCTTTCATAAGCAACTTCCTCTTTTCCTTTGTCTTTCCATTGCTTTTTACCTGTTTAGAAAAGTTTTAAGTTACTAGCCAGTCGGATTTTACTTTAGATTGTGAGGTCTGGCTCCAGCCAGTGGAGACAGGACACAGTAGCAGGGACAAGCTGCGTAAGGAATAAAAATTGCTTCTCTCCATTATTCAGGTGTGCTGTCACCATTGTTCCATCTGCGAGGAGCACCCTTTCTGCAGAAAGTAAAATTGCCTTGCTAAAAAAAACTTTTTGTCTAAATGCTGATTTTTCCTTGCAGTACCAAGGAACAAGCATTCTGTTTCTCATAAGCATTTTACTTATAACACTGAGACTTTACTGAAGTTGTTTATCAAATCTAGGAGTCTTTTGGAGGAATCTTCAGGGTTTTCTAGGTGTAGAATCACATCATGGATGAACAAAGATAATTTGACTTTTTTTTTTTTTTTGGTTTGGATGCCTTTTATTTCTTCCTCTTGCCTAATCGCTCTGAATAGGACTTCCAGTACTCTATTAATAGGAGGGGTGAGAGTGGACATCCTTGCATTGTTCCAGTTTTTAGGGGGAATGCTTTCAATTTTTGCCTGTTAAATATCATGTTGCTGGCTCAGCTCTTTACCTACTGTGTGACATGGGAGAGCTGCTTAACCAGCTGGAGCCTCAATTTCCCCCCATGTAAAATGGGTACAGCAAGGAATACCTGCCTTACAAGGTCAAAGTGAGGATTAAGTGAGATAGTATGGGTAAAGCCCCTAGCACACAACAGGGGGCTCCTTAGCCCCGGAGGATGTCAGGAACATATCAGTGTCCCAGAGCCATCAGGAACATGTCAGAGCATGTGGGAACATGTCAGAGAGTGTCTCAGAGCATGCCAGGCAGCCCAGCACTCTAGGGCACAGATCAGGTATCAGTGGCCCAGGCAGCTCATGTAAATGGGTGTGGCAGTGGGGACCCTGACAGCTGGGACTGTAGAAAAGGGACAAGAGTGTAGTTCTGTGAGAACATGGGTGCAGAGTTCTGAGACCTTCTAATTTTTCAGGAAAACCAGGTCATTCAAATTTTTATGTGAAACTGTCTGATATTTAAAAGCAGTCAACTAATCTCATGTATAAACAGACAGGCACGCCTAGTGTGCAAGTCACACTCTGCTGTCCCTCCTCCCTCCCCCTTCCTTGGTCCTCAGGGAGTTCTGGGGCTGCTGGGGTCTCTCTGACCAGGGTAGAGTCACTGACCACCAGGGCTCTGGAGCATTTGGGATTTGGCTCATCTAAACCAAGACCTGCTGCAAGTGCAAAGTTCACACCTGATTTTTAAGACTTAGAATAAGGAGGTGGGGAATGTGAAATATCTCATTTAATAGTTTTAGATTGGTTTCATGTTGAAGTGATAATATTCTGGATATATTGGGTAAAATAAAATTGTATTAACCTGCATTTCACCTCTTTCCTTTTACTTTTATTAATATGGCTTCCTGAATACATACAACTCCATGTGTGGGTGGCATTATATGTCTATTGGACAGCACTGTTTTCCAAGGAGAGACGCCCAAGGACCCCACTTTCCACAATACTTATAGCAAGTGACACAGCTGTGTGCTCTGGGACAGTTCTCCCTCCCCAGCCATGGCCACTGTGCTTTCCCAGCACCTAAAGTCTGGCCACGCCCCTTCCTGGTCACTCTTGGCTACAGCCCTGCCACCCCCCTCATTCTTTCTGTCAATCCCTCCAATACCTCATGTCTTCATCTGAAAATGGGCAATGCCAGCACCTGCTTCAGGCTCCTGTGAGAGCTCACTGCCAGGTTCTGAGGCTGTGCTGGGCTCTCAGTAAGGTGGCGATGCCTGGGGCTGCTGGCGTGGAGGGACCTGGGGCTGGGTGCCGGGGTGGGGGCAGGAAGGTGAAGCTGTGTGTGCAGAGGCATCAGCAAACCAGGTCACCACAGAGCTTGGGGATTTTATTTTCTGGCATTAAGAGGTGATTGAGGAGGCAGTTAACGTGACATGATTTGCATTTTGGAAAAGAAAAAAACTCACCTTGTCCCAGTATGGAGTGGAAACTGGAAAGGGAAGACAGGCCCAGCCTCTGCTACAGGAGGCGCCTGGGCACAGGTGTGGGCTCCAGGCAGACAGAGCTCAAGCTGCAGACCCTGATCTGGGAGGCTCAGCACCAGGAAGGCCCAAGCCTTTGGACAGGACAAGCTGATTTAGGGCAAGAAAAGAAGACAGGAGCACCAGGGCAGACCCTGGGGAGCACCAGCATTTCAGGGAAGAGGAGAGGGAGGAAAGTATGGGAGATCAATGAGAGGCAGTAGAAGAGGGAGCAGGGCAAGGAGGGAAAGGGGGCAGGGATCCCCTCCGCTGCTGGGCCCTCTGCCTGCCCGCTCCTTCCATGCTGCCAGCTCCTGAGGCTATTCCCACAGTAACTGCGAGCCTAGGGATCACTGTCCCCACGTGACAGATGCTAAAGCCGGAGCTTAGAAAGCCCAGTGTGTCATCCAGAGTCATGCAGGTTGTAAGTAATATGGTTGGGACAGGAAACTTCACCCCAGGGCCCTTTACCCCCTCCAGGCTCTTCTGATTCCAAAGTCACTGTTAAAGAAATTCAGATACTTCTGGAACTTCCCAAGAGGCGAAGTTCTCCAACAACTATAATCTGAAGTGAAATACAGCGGTGTGTTTCCTTTCCCCCGATGTATCAGCTCAGCCAAATCCCGGGAGATGAGAACCCTATTTTCCTCCCTTCGGATGCAAAATACGACTGGCTTTTGGCCAAAATCTGGGTCCGTTCCAGTGACTTCCATGTCCACCAGACCATCACCCACCTCCTGCGAACACATCTGGTGTCTGAGGTTTTTGGCATTGCGATGTACCGCCAGCTGCCTGCCGTGCACCCCATTTTCAAGGTACAGCCAGCTACTGCCCCACCTGCTATGGGAGGGCATCTGAGATGTGGAGTGGGAGGGATCGCTGACATCCCACAGGGGGACCTGTGGCTGGGAGTGGGTGGCAGAAAGGGACCCCTGGAGAGATGTTCTCAGAGTCAGTAATGTCCCCAAAGGAAGAAAACAGCTGGGAGCCTGCTGTTCCCCAGGACAACGAGGCCAGGGTGTGGGCCTGACACAGGCGCCTCGCTGGCCAGCCAGTAGAGTTGGAAAAGGCAAATGAGTTCACAGTGATCCTCGGCTGGTGCTGATGGCCGCCCCTGCCATCACTCTCCTTCCCTGTTCCCGAATCTTACAAGCACTGGCTGTTGGGGTGACTGCAGGCTAAAAGTACTCCTGTGTGCCTCAGTTTCCTCACCAGTAAAACAGGCCAAATAGTACAGCTGCCTTACAGAATGATGGTCAGGATTAAAACAGTAAACTCAGGGAGCAAAGAGGTAAGCATTGTACAAGTGCTAGCCAGGACCATCTGAATCATTATCATGCTTAGTAAGCATCAGAGGGGTGCAGGCTTCCAGCACTTAGCCAAAAGATCAGCACCCAGCCTTCACTTCCTCCCTGCGCCCAGCATCATCCTGTAAGGCAGGCCTGGGTGGGGGAGCTGCAGGTCCCTAGGGCACCAGGTCACCTGGTTGGGCCCCCTCTGAGGCCTCCTCCTCTCCCCTCCCCAGCTGCTGGTGGCACACGTGAGATACACCATCGCTATCAACACCAAGGCCCGTGAGCAGCTCATCTGTGAGTGTGGCCTCTTTGACAAGGTGGGTGCCCTCCTACCCTACTTGTTGCCTGGAAGAGCCAAGCCTGGCCACCTTCACTCCCTATTTGATATCTAGACGCCCTTTCAGGAGGCCTGGAAGGGTGAAAGCTGGAGTTTGCTCAGAGCACTGGGTCCAGCATCCTCCTGATATCTCCAGCCCCTGCCACTCAGCCAGGAGCACTCCTCCAGGTGCACCACCAGCTCTTCCTTCTCGCTGATGGCTCCCGGTCCCCTCCTCCCACTCCTCCCCTCTCCCAGCCTCTGGGACCTGGGTGTAGAACCCCCTCTGGAACACACTCCTTATGGCCCCCTGACCTCCTACACACCAGGAACCTGTGTCTGCCTCTTAATCTGCCACACCCCTGCCACCCTGACTCGGACCTCCCCAGCACTCTGCTTCCCGGGTTGCAACCCTCCCAACCCACTGTCTCCTGCATCAGGGCCTCTAGGCCCTGCCCAACCCTCGCATCCCTCAGACAGCACCCCACCTCGTTTTGAGCCCCCTGTAGCCTTACCAAGCTTGGACTCTCACATGGGCCCTTGCCCCAACCTTCCTCCTTTCCCCAGCCCATTAGTGACCAGGCCAGATGACCACTGAAGTTGAAACACTGTTTGGGTTGCAAATGACAAAACCCAACTCAAACCAGCTGTAGCTGGACAAGACATGCCTTATCTCAAATACCTGGACACAATAGAGGGGCCGGGGCCTCAGCCAGAAATGGATCCAGGGACTCAAGCAATGCCCCAGGGTATAGGCACACTGGCTCCCTCTTTCTCTCTCTTTCACCTGTGTTGGCATCACACTCTCCTGCTGCAGACAGGCCCCCATGGGAGAGGGCGCAGGACCTCATCATAGTAGCTCTACCTCAGGTTCCCATGTGGCCATTATCTCCCGGCCGCATCCAAACAAAGTGCTGGAGGGCAGCTCTGGTTGGTTCTGCTTGGGCTGAATGCCCACTATAGACCAGTCTCTGGCACCCCAGCACCCAAGTCCGTCTTCAAACTTTCTGTGGCACCAACAGCCCAGCCCCCTGGGTGTATTTGCATGTGTGTGTGCAGGTGTACACAGGTACGCCAGTCAGCTTGTGAGTGTGTCTGCGTCGGTCAGCAGCCGGGATCAGGACCAGGATCCCTCCTTGTGGGTCTCTCCAGCCCTCAGCTGAGCACACAACAGGCCCTCAACAGAGTTGCATGGGGCCTGGAAACTGAGGGTCACTGAGAGCAATGACTGAGGGTCCTGTGCTCAGCACTAGAGCAGACTTCACAGCCCAGGCCCGCTGGTGCTGGGGTCCCCCACACACCTGCCCACGCCTGCTGCCCTCCTGTGGCTGGGAGCGCACCCTTCCCTCCTGCACTCTGCAGCCCCACGGTTCAGTCCCTTGCATTGGATTGGGCGGGAGGCTCCTCCCTGTCACCTCTCCACCCGCTGCCCTTGTCATTCTCTGCATTAAACATCCCTCCCCCATCTCACAGAAGAAGAGTTTGCCCCTCTGCCTGCCTGGCCTCCTCGTCTCCCTGGCACATTTCCTCAGGGATGGGTCTGGACAGCTGTGGGAGGAGCCACCCGCTCAGGGCACTCTACCTCCCACTCCAGGCCAACGCCACAGGGGGCGGTGGGCACGTGCAGATGGTGCAGAGGGCCATGAAGGACCTGACCTACGCCTCCCTGTGCTTTCCCGAGGCCATCAAGGCCCGGGGCATGGAGAGTAAAGAGGACATCCCCTACTACTTCTACCGAGACGACGGGCTCCTGGTGTGGGAAGCCATTAGGATGTGAGCGCCTGCGGGGCGGTGGTCCTGGGGGAGGAGCCGGGCCCCCTGCCTGACTGCCTGGGGCGGGCCTGGCCCCCGGCTGCTGGCGCTGAATGGGGAAGGGGTGGAGGGTGCCCAGCGTCCGTGAGGGGGTTGCCGCCGGGCACCGCTCCGCAGACCTGGCTGGATCGCTCACGCCGGCTGCGCCCCCTGAGCCAGGTTCACGGCCGAGGTGGTGGGCATCTACTACGAGAGCGACCAGGTGGTGGAGGAGGACCCGGAGCTGCAGGACTTCGTGAACGACGTCTACGTGTACGGCATGCGGGGCCGCAAGTCCTCAGGTAGGGCCTCAGGGACGTCTCTGGACACGGCTCCCCCGCAGTCGGCAGCGCAGGCGCAGCCGCCGCCCCTCCAGGGTGTCCTGCCCAGCGGGCCCTCCGGCGTCGGGGCAGGGAGACCGGGCACGGGGTGGGCGCCGGGCCCCGGGGTCCCCAGGGACTGGGCCTCAACCCGCCGGTGGTTCCGCCCTAGGCTTCCCCAAGTCGGTCAAGAGCCGGGAGCAGCTGTCGGAGTACCTGACCGTGGTGATCTTCACCGCCTCCGCCCAGCACGCCGCGGTCAACTTCGGCCAGGTAGGCGGGGCCCGCCCGCTGGGCAGAGCTCACTCCCCAGGGCCGCTGCCTCCTCCCCCGCCCCAGCTTTGCACGGGTACCGCACCCTCGGGCAGCCTCGGGGTCTGGCATGGGACTTGCAGGATGGATTCTGCCCGCGCAGCCGAGGGCGCTGGCCGCGGGGGAAGAGGATGGATGGACTGAAGGGCCCGCTGGAGTTGGGGGGCACGGGGAGGACAGGGCCCAGGGGGCAGCTGGGCAGCAGGGTTTCGGGGGTGCCCACGCTCGCTGGCGGTCGTCTCCTCAGTACGACTGGTGCTCCTGGATCCCCAATGCTCCCCCAACCATGCGAGCCCCGCCGCCAACTGCCAAGGGCGTGGTGACCATTGAGCAGATCGTGGACACGCTGCCGGACCGCGGTCGCTCCTGCTGGCATCTGGGTGCAGTGTGGGCGCTGAGCCAGTTCCAGGAAAACGAGGTGAGGCTGGGCAGGGTGGGGCACAGACCCAGGTCACCCCAGGTTAACCGGTTCCTCAGCCTCAGTGCTTTGTGACTCGGGCCTCAGGGCTCACTTGGAGCCAGAAATCCTGACTTCCAAGGCTGGAAGGGCCCAGAGGGCTGCAGCTGCCACCAGGTCTCCCGGCCTGAGCGTGGACAGAGCTCAGGGTGGGCACGGCAGGAGAGCACACAGCCCAGGCTCTGCTCACTGTCACCAGAGGGTCGTGTGTGACACCCCCTTCCCCCAGCTATTGACAAAGCTCTTGCACATGTGTTTTTCCCTGGTACTCCAGAAGGAATGACCAAGAGTTTGCTGGGTTCCTTCAGGACATGTGCATCTCATTTAATCTAACAACTGAATCTGGTGTGTCTTGGTGGATGCACTCGCTTTGGGGTAGCTCAGTACTGCACAGAATGGCCGCTCGGGTCCAACCTGCTCCAGACTGCTGGGCGTCTGAGTTGTTCCTGGCTAATGTGTTGGTCCCTCACTGGACATCCTTGTTTTTGTGCCTTTGCATACGTGTTCAGTATGACCGGACACATTCCTAGCAGACAAATTCCTTGGTCAAAGAATATTGAGACTGAATTGCCCTCCACAGACTAAATCCAAATCCCATTATCAGTAGCCTATGTTTCTTGGACCTTTCCAGCTCAGAAGCTTTGTGATCTTAATCCAATACAGTAGTTTTTTAAAATGATGTCTAGCTCTACCCCGCAGACATCTGTGTGAGCATGCAAATAAGCACAGCACCCCAACAGGGCAGCCACCCCTTCAGGCTCCCTGGCCTGCCTTCTGCCTTCCTGGGCTGGAGAGGCCAGCACTGGCCCCAGCGCCCCTGATGGGAGGTGGGAGTGCTGCATAGGGGTGGCCCGAGAGAGCAGGATACCATGGCTGCAACCACCAGCACCCTCCAGCTTCATCTGCATCATCTTGTAACCACCTGGCAGCAGGCAGTTATTTTCCCACTTATCCATGAAGCCCAGCTCTGGAGCCTTCCTTAGGGAAGCAGATAGGGGGCGACCACACTTGCCTTCCCAAGGCCCTCTTGTCAGGCAGCAGAGGGTGAATATGGGCAGGCGAATAGATGCTCCCTCCTTCATCTCCCAAAAGGTGGCTGGCCCTTTGGGATGAGACAGGCCTGTCAGTTTACACGGGTAGCAGATTGACCTATGTGTGTATCCATGTCTGGGCCCTCAGCTGTTCCTGGGCATGTACCCAGAAGAGCATTTTATCGAGAAGCCTGTGAAGGCGGCTATGGCCCGATTCCGCAAGAACCTCGAGGCCATTGTCAGCGTGATTGCTGAGCGCAACAAGAAGAAGCAGCTGCCATATTACTACTTGTCCCCAGACCGGATTCCTAACAGTGTGGCCATCTGAGCACACTGCCAGTCTCACTATGGGAAGGCCAGCTGCTCCAGCCAGCCGGACTCCAGCCTGCCTGGCAGGCTGTCTGGCCAGGCCTCTTGGCAGTCACGTCTCTTCTTCCGAGGCTAGTACCTTTCTGTTTATTCTTTGATCTTCAGGGAACCCCATAGATTGAGCAAAGTGTAAACACCATAGGGACCCATTCTACGCAGAGCAGGACTGCACAGTGTCCTCTCCACACCCAGCTCAGCATTTCCACACCAAGCAGCAATAACAAATCACGACCACTGATAGATGTCTGTTCTTGTTGGAGACATTGGATGATTATTTTCTGTTCTATTTGTGCTTAGTCCAATTCCTTGCACATAGTGGGTACCCAATTCAATTATTATTGAATGAATTAAGAATTGGTTGCCATAAAAATAAAGCGGTTCATTTAAAACAGGTCTTGTTCCACGTGCTATGTTCCAGTCACCCCAAACAGCTCATTGCCATCTCCTACACCAAGAGAAAAAAAAAAAAGCCATAGTCACCGTGATTTTATCAAGGCAAAAGCCTCCCCACCCAAGTCTGGATAGAAGGTGCTTTTTCCCCCACGCAGTATCTGCTATCTTTGGAACACATCCCAAATGCCAGCACCTCTGGGAAGGCATCCTTGGTTCCTGTCTCTTCCCCGGATTTGTCAGAACCTCTGTTGTTGCCCTCTCTGTGGTCTCTCCCTTGGGATAGGAGCCCCTGGAAGGACAGAAAACCCACTTTATTTATGTCTGTGCCCCAGGGCTGGCATAAGGCACCAGCACTCAGCTGTTCCCTTCTTTTCCTCCTGGCACAGCACCTCACTAATGGATATTAGGCGTTGTCTTGGGAGCTGGGGGTTTATTTTTTTCTGAGGCAGGGTTCTTAACATGACATAAAAAATAAAAATGGGCAGGGCACGGTGGCTCACGCCTGTAATCCCAGCACTTTGGGAGGCCAAGGTGGGTGGATCATTTGAGGTCAGAATTCGAGACCAGCCTGGCCAACATGGTGGAAACCCCATCTCTACTGAAAATACAAAAATTAGCTGGGCATAGTAGCAGATACCTGTAATCCCAGCTACTCGGGAGGCTGAGGCAGGAAAATTGCTTGAACCTGGGAGACAGAGGTTGCAGTGAGTGGATGTCGCATCACTGCACTCCAGCCTGGGCAATAGAGTGAGACTCTGTCTCAAATAATAAATAAAGTAAATAAATAAAAATGCATTCTCTTTCCCCAGGCCCAAATAGCAGAGCCAGCTCTGAGCCTGGGCATGGTGACCCATTCTCCCCCTGTGCTCACATGCCCAACTCTCAGCCCTCCAGCCCCTGGCTTCGGAATCATGTCGTCAGGGTCTCCCATGTCTCTGGAAGGTGCTTCCAGTGTGGCAGGCGAGCAGCTCAGTGTCTGGGTAAAGCCTTCTACAGGGCCAGCATGGCATGAGGGGAGGTGTGCCTGCGTTCCTGAAGCCACAAGGCCTTCTGAGGAGACCTGACTATTGGAGTGGGTACTAGAGACTGAGGTCCAGCCCCTTAATGCCACAGCCTCCCTGCCATCCCTTGGAGAATTGCCCACCACCCTTATGAATGATCTTCGGGACAGGTGACATAAACGTATAGCCATGGTCGAGGCATTCAGCTCCATGCCACTGTGAGAATGAACATACCAGCTTTTAGAACAAGGCTGTGTGGTCAAGGAGAGAGGAGAAACGAATAGGAGTAGGCAGGGGTGGTGAAGCAGGTCTGACATGAGCAAAAGAGAGACAGGAGGATTGGGTTGGAAAGGCTTCAGACGGCAGAGCACCTCTGAAAGTCTCATGCCAGCTAATGAAGAGTCCTCAAAGTCACCATTACAGAAATCTTACATCTGGCAGAAATGACAGTTATGGTTTGGCATGAACCCCACAGTGGATCCAAACGTGTGGCAGCTGAGATCCTCAGTCAATTATGTTCTCTGCAGCTGGTCCTTCTGGTTCCCTGGGGCAGGGTATCTGAGTAGCACAGCCCCACTGCTACCACAGGAGAGGGAGAATCCCAAATTCTGTGCATAGACTCTGTCTAAACCTCTGGATGACCCCTAAGATACGTGTACATAAGGCAAACTACAAACAGCCCAATTTAGGATAAAACAGCCTGTCTTACTTTGTTTGTGCTGCTATAATAAAATACCTCAGACTGGGTCATTTATACAGAACAGAAATTGATTCCTCACAGTTCTGGAGGCTGGAAGTCTAAGATGAGGCACTAGCAGTTTCGGTGTCTGGTAAGGGAGGGATCAGTGTCTGCTCCCATGAGGGTGCCCTCCATGCTGTGTCCTCACCCAGCAGAAGGGCAAAAAAGGGCGAACATTCTCTAAAGCCTCTTTTGTAAGGACATCAATCCATTCATGAGGGCAGAACCCTCATAAATTAATCATTTCCCAAAAGGCCCCTCCTCCTAAGGCCATCACCTTGGGGTTTAAGTTCTAGCACATGATTTTTGGAAGGACACATGCATTCAAATCATAACACAACCAAAGTGATATTTGAACTTTCAAATAGTTTGCAGTTTTGAGATCAACTAAGTTAATTGCTTGCTTGAATAAAAAAATCACGGGCGGGCATGATGGCTCACGACTGTAATCCCAGCACTTTGGGAGGCCAAGGTGGGCAGATCACTTGAGGTCAGGAGTTCGAGACCAGTCTGACCAACATGGTGAAACCCCATCTCTACTAAAAATACAAAAATTAGCCACGAGACCAGGCGTGGTGGCTCAAGCCTGTAATCCCAGCACTTTGGGAGGCTGAGGCGGGTGGATCACAAGGTCAAGAGACTGAGACCATCCTGGCCAACATGGTGAAACCCTGTCTCTACTAAAAATGCAAAAATTAGCTGGTGACTACTTGGGAAGCTGAGGCAGGAGAATTGCTTGAACCTGGGAGGCGGAGGTTGCAGTGAGCCAAGATTGTGCCACTGCACTCCAGCCTGAGCAACACAGCGAGACTCTGTCTAAAAAAAAAAAAGCCAGGCATGGTGGTGCATGCCTGTAGTCCCAGCTACTCAGGAAGCTGAGGCCAAAAAATCACTTGAACCTGTGAGGCGGAGGTGGCAGTGAGCCGAGATCACACCACTGCACCCCAGCCTGGGCAACAGAGTGAAACTCAATCTCAAAAAAGGAAAAAAAGAAAAAGAAAAAGAGAAACATCAACACTCTTTGGAAGAATATAATAATATAAGAATCTCTACAAAATAACATTCATAATAGCCAGAACATAATCCAAAATTACTCAACATAGAAAGAATTAGGAAAATGTTACCTATTCTCAAAGAAAAAGATAATTAACAGAGACCAATCCCAAGATGATGTTGGAATTAGCAGACAATTATTTTAGTTTTCCTATTTGTGCTCAGTGAGTTAAAGGAAATATGCTCCAATTTATGAAAGGGTTGGAAATATCAACAATAAATTATGCATCATAAGAAGGAAAAGAAGATGAAAATCCTAGAACTAAAAAATATCAGAGGAAAAAAATAAGTGGACTGAAAAAATAACTGAATAACAGAGCAGAGATGACAGGGTAAAGAGAAAGTGAACTTGAAGATACAGCAATAGAAATGATCCAGTCAGAAGTACAGAGATAATTTTTTTAAATAAACAGGGCCACAGAGATCTATGAGGCAATATCAAAACAACTGGCATACATATAATTGAAGTCTTCGGAGAGGGAAGATGAAAGAGAATGAGGCAGAACAAATATCTGAGGAGACCAAGGCCAAAATTTCCCTGAATTTAGTGAAAGATGTCAATTTAAAGCTTCAAGAAGCTCAGCCAAACCCAACTAAAATAAATACAAAGAAAACCATACCTACATAATTCAGAGTTAAACTGCTCAAAACCAGAATTAAAGAGAAAAATCTCAAAGGCAGCAAAACATAACACATAGAGTATAACAAAAACGTGAATTACAGCTAACTTTTATTTATTTTTTAGACAGAGTTTTGCTCTTGTTGCTCAGGCTGGAGTGCAATGGTGGATCTCGGCTCATTGCAACCTCTGCCTCCTGGGTTCAAGCGATTCTCCTGCCTCAGTCTCCCAAATAGCTGGGATTACAGGCATGCGCCACCATACCCGGCTAATTTTTTGTAGTTGGTAGAGGAAGGGTTTCACCATGTTGGTCAGGCTGGTCTTGAACTCCTGACCTCAGGTGATCCACCTGCCTTGGCATCCCAGAGTGCTGGGATTACAGGCATGCACCACCGCACCCAGCCCTACAGCTAACTTTTAATCAGAAACTGTATGGGGCCAAAATATAGTGGAACAGTATTTTTAAAGTATTAAAACAAAAAAAATTTACCAACACAGAATTCTGTAACCAGCAAAAATATCCTTCAAGTATGAAAACAAAAATTTCAGGTAACATAGAACTAAGAGAATCTGTCACCAACAGATCTGCACCACAAAAACATGCTATAGGAAATTCTTCAGGCTGAAGGGAAATGCTAGATGGAAACTCAGATCCTCAGGAAGGAATGAATAAAACCAGAAGTGGTAGATATTTGGAAAATGCAAAAGACTTTTCCCCTTCTTAATTTCTTTAAAATATATATAACTATTTAAAGCAAGTAGTATAATATTGTCATGTGGTATTTATAATGCATGTAAATATAATACACATGAAGATGGCATAAAAGACAATGGGTAGTAAACGGACTTACTCTGTTACATGGTTTCTACATTTTATATCAAGTGGTACAGTATTAATTCTAGGTAGTTTGTAAAAATTTAGAGAGTTAGATTATAATCCCTAGAGCAACCACTAAAAATAATTTAAAGCAATATAGATAAAAAGCAATCAAGGACTTAAAATGGAATTCTAAAAATTCATAAATAATGAAGACGGGAAAAAGGAACAGAGAAATAAAAACAGAGGTAAAAACAAAAATCAAATAATAAAATCGTAGACATAACTCTAGCCTTATCAATAATGATATCAAATGTTTTAAAATTTTTAATTTAGTTTTTGTAGAAACAGGGTCTCCCTATGTTGCCTAAGCTGGTTTCCAACTCCTAGGCTCAAGTGATCCTCCCACCTCAGCCACCCAAAGTGCTAGGACTACAGGCATAAGCCATCACACCTGGCCCATCAAATGTTAATGGACTAAAAACTCAAAACTAAAAGAGATTATCATAATGCATTTTAAAAATTAATGCCCAACAATATGCTATATGTAAGATATACACTATAAATGCATAATAGAAGCAGAATTTTTTTCTGTCAGATATTTAAGGTTTTTCAGGCCACATACAATTTGTTGTCATATTCTTTTTTTTTTTTTTTTTTTTTTTTACTTTAAGTTCTGGGATACATGTGCAGAAGGTGCAGCTTTGTTACATAGGTATACATGTGCCATGGTGATTTGCTGCACCTATCAACCCCTCATCTAGGGTTTTAAGCCCCACATGGATTAGGCATTTGTCCTAATGCTCTTCACCCACTTGCCCCCCAAATCCCAACAGGCCCCAGTGTGTGATGTTCCCCTTCCTGTGTCCATGTGTTCTCATTGTTCAATTTCCACTCATAAGTGAGAACATGCAGTGTTTGGTTTTCTTTTCCTGTGTTAGTTCGCTGAGAATGATGGCTTCCAGCTTCATCTGTGTCCCTGAAAAGGACATGAACTCATTCTTTTTTATGGCTGCATAGTGTTCCACGGTGTGTATGTGCCACATTTTCTTTATCCAGTCTATCATTAATGGGCATTTGGGTTGGTTCCAAGTCTTTGCTGTTGTAATTAGTGCTGCAATAAACATATGAGTGCATGTCTTTATAGTAGAATAATTTAAAATCCTTTGGGGATATACCCAGTAATGGGATTGTTGGGTCAAATGGTATTCCTAGTTCTAAATCCTGGAGGAATCACCACACCATCTTCCACAATGGCTGAAC